TTACAGATGTCTGATGTTCTTTGATTCGTAGGTTTAGGGGGCGGCACGTTTCTCCTATGTATGAGTCACCACAGTCGCATTGAATGTGGTAGACAACGCCGAAGGGTCTTCTTTGTTGCTTGTAGGTGGTTTACTGTTGGCTTGTAGGATATGCTGAATTGATGTGCCTCTCTGGAACTCAACATCTGTGTTGGCTTGCTTCTTAAGTAGTCTCCGGATATGGAGGCTGATTGTATCGACGTATGGTATACTGATGATGAGCGGGGCCGATTGTTGACGTGGTGGTTTGTCTTTTCGGTTGACTGTGGTGTTGATGGTTCTGTTGACTGGGTTAGCTGGATAATTGTTAAGGTTTATGAAGAGTTGGCGAAGGTGTTCTAACTCGACTTCAAGGGCTTGGGTTCTTGAGCTGTTGTTCTTTGTTCTTCTGGCTAGGGTGGCGATTATACCTCTCTTGACTTGTAGTGGGTGATTAGATAAGAAGTGAAGATATTGGTCCGTGTGGGTTGGTTTCCTCTAGACACTTGTGTGGAGTTTGTTGTTGCCTTTTTGTACTTGGACGTCTAGGAATGGTAGTTTGTTGTCGGTTTCTTCTTCCATTGTGAATTTCATGCGTGGATGTTGGGCATTAAGGTGATTCAGAAGGCAGGTGGAGTCATCGGTGGGGTTGAGAAACGTGTCGTCTACTTTCCGGAACCAGCATATTGGTGTGATGGGCGAGGTGAGGAGGGCCTTGTCTTCGAGTTCTGTCATGTAGATCTCCGTAATGAGGGGGGAGAGAGGTGATCCCATATGTAGACCATGGGTTTGCTGGTAGATTTTATCGGACCAGGTGAACGTCGCAAGTACTACTGCAACAAAGAAGTTGTCTATCCATAAAAAGTGTTCCACTTCATCATACCAGCTTCTAAATGCCACTTAAGGAAGTTATGTGCTGATATTTTATCTGCTCTTATTAAAAAAATGAACATATAAATGGCATAAAAGTTGATGATATAGAGTAATTGATGGCACAATATGCAGATGACACTGAATTCATTCTTGATGGTTGTAAAAGTCATTTGAAACTGTTATTGATACATTAGACTTATTTGATAGAATTTCCGGACTCAGGATTAATTATGACAAATCACAGGTTGTTTGGATAGGTTAAAAAAAACATTGCCTGATTAAATATTGACCAGATCTGGCCCTTGTTTGGAATCCTGAAACGTTTAGAATTCTAGGTATTATATTCTCAGTTGACTATGATAAGATGATAAAACTAAATGTTGCTAGTAAAATATATGAAATTGAACAAATAATTAAACAATGGATAAAAAGAACTATTACTACATTGTGGAAAATAGCTATTATTAAGTCATTATTAATTTCAAAGCTAAATTTCCTTTTTCTTACACTTCCTAAACCACCAGGAGACTTCCTTAAAAAACTAAACAGCATTCTTTTTAGCTTCCTTTGGGACAAGCCAGATAGGATTAAAAGAACTGTTGCTTGCTAACCTGATGTAGAAGGAGGATTAGGAATGATAAATATATTTGCTTATGTTGATGCACTGAAATTGACATTGATAAGGAAATTGATTAATGATGATTATGACAAAGAGTGGAACACCTGCTACTTTCTACTGTTCCAGTTTTTCACAATTTGACACTTTTTGGAAATGGTTATCCACTGATGTTAGCAAATGTTACTCCTAATATGTGTTGGAAAGATAGCATGGCAGATTTTGCTAAATATAGCAGTAACCATAGACCAGCAACGTATGAAGAGTTTCTACGAGAACCACTCCTGTATGATAAGAACATAACTATCAATAAAACATCCTTTTTAGCATAACATTTTATGAAAAAACACATTACTAATATTGGCTGCTTGTTGAATGCAGATGGAGACTTTAAATCTCTTCAAGAGTTTTGTGATAATTTTTTCGAGATTAGTTTTTGTCTTTTTAAAGGTGTATTAAGATCTGTCAATATTCATTTAAAAAGATTGAAATTCGATAAAGGTATTGACATAATTTCTACTTTTATTTCCTAAACACAGCTAAGATCTCGCATTCTTAATTTCATCCCTAAATATGTCAAAAATAATTCGATAAAGGTAATTTTATAGAGGGAGATAGATCACAGAATGTATGTATTACACAGTTGCTTTCGTGTAAAAGAGGTTTGAAACAATATTATTATGTTATGACTAGTGGTGTTCCGATTAACTGATATAATCGAGGATCGGTCGCAGTGACCAAACGACCAAGCAATCGATCACATTTTTCCATAATCGAACATAAACGATTTTGAAACTACTGTTTTAGTCTTTGAAATACTTGACAATGGAACATATCGTTGAAGTGTCAGGGCCTGAAAACGTGTTTAATTCTTAGAAAACTCACTTTACTAACTGAAAAGCCATGACTGAATTAGAAGACAAAGCTACTCTATTTTCAATTTTGCGGTCATTTATCGTTGATTTAAGACCGCCAAATGTAATTTAAAACCCGAACGCGACAGCGTGAGGTTTGTAAATTAAACATTTAGCGGTCCTAAATCAACGATAAAGGACCGCAAAATTGAAAACAGAGTAGCTTTATCTTCGTTCTAACACGACTGATAAGCGTTTTAAAAACCGATCTGTTTGGCACGCAAGAACACAAAGCTTGAAGGGTCCTTTTTCCTGGAAATCGCTTGGAATTGTCCCGTTGAGGGACAGGGTGTGTAATGAACAAAATAAGACATTTTCAACAACAGAAATGCTTTATTTCAGGAACCAGTATGCTTGTATTTGTAACACGTAGCATGCATAAGTAAAAAATAGAGTTTATACAGTGCGCAAGTACATTCTTTTATATTTTTCTCAAGCGTTTTATTGATCTCCCCTACTGTATGACAATCGATTTGTCCCAATTCAAGCCGTGGACTCGCTAAGTTTAGTCGCCGCTAACTTTATTCACGGGAATTGTTGATAACCACCCTACTATTCCCAAAAGATCTAACATGCCACGTTTTATGTGGGATAGTGGACGGTGGAAGCGGAAGGACTGGGTATTACGGCAGGGACGGAAGCGGTCAGGTTAGGACGTGTGGGCCGACGTGTGTTGTCGACGTCAACACACGTAGATCTGGACCCGGTTTTGAATACTGCCGCTTTTGCGCTGCTGACGGATTTTCCAGGTTCTTCACTGGGATTAGGCTAAAGAAATTCTTCTTCGAAACCTTTCACTTTTTACTTCAAAAACATCAAAGATGCTGCCGGGGTAGAAATCGCCGATGTCCGACATGTTTGTTTACAAACAATAGGGTCAACGAGTTCAATGTATTCATACGCGGTGAATCGGTCACATTAATTAGCGGTCTTAACATGCCATTTACGTACGGTTTTGATGAGCTCTCAGCCAATCAGAATCGAGTATCACACAATGTCGTGCTAGAATATTTCTTGAAGACTCCGGGAAGTTTATGTTCAATGATATATTAGTCATCACTTTAAAGTAGCAAGTTGCATCATGTTATGCATATCTGCAGTTGGTAATGAAACAATCATCAATTGTGAGATTTCAACCAATTCCCAACACTAGTTATGACACAGACTGAAGAAAATCTAAAGATAATTGAAAAATGGGAAGAGGAAATATTAGTAAAACAGAACTGGTCAAACATATTAATCAAAGCATTTATAACTACATCTGATCCAAAGTTAAGATGGATGCAATACAGGCTACTACATAGAAATTATACCAGTCAATACATACTTAATCAAGATGAATGTTGTTAATAGCAATCTATGTACATTTTATAAGGCAGAGCCGGAATCAATACTATATCTTTTTGGGGGATGTAGAGACAATGAATCTTTTTGGAGGAATCTCTCTCCATGGATTATGCTGAAATGTTCACATGCTAACAGAATTATATTCCATTGTGATCTAGTGTTATTTGGTATTTAGCATCCTTCCACAGTGATGCGATATTTGACTTGATAATTTTATTAGCTAAATTTCCTATCTATAAATATAAACTTACAAATGGAATACCGCATTTATCCGTTTTTAAAAAGGAATCGAACTATTACCACGACGTAGAAAGAATCAGATATTATAGCAAAGCAAGGTTTCAGGACAAATAACAAATGGAAACAGTATCAAAATCTTTTTCAGTAGCACACATTGAAAATACGAATTAATTTACTTTTTGCATATCTTTTGTATGGATGTGTGAGCGAATGTTGTATCTTTGTGTATAAAATAACAAAAACTGTTTTGTACATTGTTTGTAAACCTATTTACAAAGGCTTCAAACATCCTACTACGTACCACCGTATTCATCCTGCACACATCAAACAACATAAACTGATATGCCACACACCACAGCCCTTGTGAGAGAAAGCGACATTGAAACATCTGAAGACTTTACCGCTGTCTCATGCTACACTTTAAAAAGTGTACAATCACTACATTCGTTCATATATTCACATATCAGCATGACTTCTTCTATGTTCAGAGGACAACATCTATCAGATGTAACGGAACACGTTAGACGAAGCAAAACTGACATGGCTTAGGTATGAAGGTATATCAACACTGAAAAAACAATATTATCCATTCCCAGCATATTTAGCTGCATACATATTAGCCGCTTGTGAGACAAAGGAACAATGATATTTTTCAGTTTCGAAAGCTATCGCGTGCATACCTTGTCATTACATTGCGCTTTGAACAGTAGACAGCTGGAATATTGCAGTGCGACGTTAAGCACAAAATAAATACATTAGTAAACAATATACTATTACACATTCACCCTGTGCACAATAAACAGGTTCTGTGTAAATACATCAGCCAGGTGTCATTGCAAGACAAAGTAACATTGATTTTGTTCAGGCTCAAACGCCATTTCCGTCACATCCCATTGCACTCCGTCACACACTGGTCACATCATGAATTGAATATCACATTCTGTTCAACGCCAAGCAAGGTTTATGAAGGAAACACACAGTTGCTATGCACAATGGCCACATCTCGGACGAGACATACGAGGACACACATATGCTATGGAATCGCCATTACCTTCATTGGTAGTGTCAGCTTCACGATTCTGTTTGAGAGGAAATTTCAAAGGTGAGAGTAACGGATTAATCGTATATTTTTGTTGTTAGATTGACACCACACACGCTATGATGGTGAAATTACATTTTCACATTTGACGTACCACACACGTAACATGGGCTACAGGGAAACGAAATTCTTAATTGTGTCCACCTTTTGCTTTATTGACCTGGAAGACCCGGAAGACCAGGTAAGAATTTGTCTTCAGCAACCCATACTTGTTTTAAGAGAGGACTAACCCGGTGGTCTGGCTGGCTTGGCTGATGCATGTCATCGTATCCCAAAGGCCAAGATCGATGCTCATGATGTCAATCACTGGATCGTCTGGTCCAGACTGTATTATTTCGAAATATGTGTCACACAGCTGAATATTGCCGAGTGAGGCGTTAGACAACAAACAAAGAAGACAGAAAATCTGATAAGAGAGACAATTGATTTGTCCTGTCATCATTGGTACAGAAGTGAAATAAGAGACTATTTACTGTGTATTTTATTGATCGAGTTTCTTTATTCATCAATCAGTTTTGTGTTTATCCTCAATCCAGTTTCCACAAGCCGGATCCAGGGTTCAACTCATGTCATGATTCAGATATTGAGGGAGATGAGATGAATAAACTGGAGAGTGAACTGTTCATAGAAGAGCTACAGAAGGATGAGTTAACTTCTGACGTCAGACGTCTTTCCTCGGGGAAAAACTCAAGACTGCATCTCGACAGACGTGCTGTCGCACTGGGAGAAGTGTTCAGGATCCGAATCCATCTATATGACGACTACAACCAGCCGTTACACAGAGGGGGAGATTTACTAGCGGTACTGATGGACAACACCACCCTCGGAGCAACTTCCGTTGGACGCGTCATTGACCATCGGAATGGAAGCTACACCGCCATGCTTCGGGCGATGTGGAGAGGAACGGCGACTATTTCTGTTACTGTCCTGTGCGGCCGTGAGGCAGTGTCAACTTACATGAGGCTAATGAACCCTTTAACAGATGTTCAGAAGGTTTTCTGTGTGTTTGAATTTGATGGGATGAGAACTGAAACGATTGGTTATCCATCACCTGATCCCCTTGAAGAAGATGTTTGTAACATGACAAGTGAAAATTATGGTTTGGCCTGGTACTGCGTGAAACCAGATAAACGATTCTTGTGTTCCGACTGGGTGAAGATTACAAAAGCTAGGCTACCTTCTGATAAGACGTCAAGCAAGGAAATGTTCTATAAGAGGTATGTAAGAGCGACTGGATTTTTCCGAATTCATAAGAAATCTCTGCCACACATGGAGTCGATTCCAACTTCACCATGAGCACATGTTTATGAATCCCAATCCAACAGCCCAGGTGAATCGCAGTGTTCAATGATGCCACAAGGTGACGTATTATCCCCCACCGGTGACACACATCACGAAGAGCATTTGCTTATGAACCCCAGTCTAATACCCCAGGTGAACCGCAGTGTTCAATGATGCCACAAGGTGACGTATTCTCCTCCACCGGTGACATCCATCACAAAGAGCATCTCCTTATGAATTCCAATCTTATACCCCAGGTATACCGCAGTGTTCAAAGATGCCACTAGGTGACGTATTCTCCGCCACCGGTGACATCCATCACAAAGAGCATTTGCTTATGAATCCCAATCCAACACCGCAGGTGAATCGCGGTGTTCATGCCAGAATATGACGCTTTCTGCCACACCGTTGACACCCATCACAAATACATGGAAAGCATGTCAAATGTTCGCCTAAAAACACGAGGACATGTTGTACAAGTCAAAACTGGAATTACGTCGGATATAATTCTTGTCACTGATGTCCTTCATATGTCACTATAGACTATTTTATAGCTTTAAAGGCACAATGTCACACATTTTTCGACAATATTTTGGCCTATATCACATATTGGGGTATATCCACTCACTTTAGCTTCCTATTGATGCCATAAAAGAGATATTATTCCTTATGACTTGCCTGAAATCAATAATTGAAACCTTTGAGGAGAACAACTTCCAAACAGAGAACACTTGCCACATATGGAATGTAAACAATTCCTCGGTACATCGAAAACTGCCGCACGCAGTGTTGTCGGTGTTTGCCGAACTGGTTTCAATCGCAAGTTGTGCGCTCCAAGGAGCATAACTCTATGGGGTTCGCTTGAAATAAAGTTCGGCCGATAGAGGGCGCGAGAGTCGATGCAACGTTGCATTAATCCATTCGAACTTTTAATTCAATATTGCAATCTAAATACGTAATTTCGGGGGATGTTAAATTATATGGTAGCTTCCCTGAGGGCTGATAGTTTTATTGATAGGAAAGCATTATTCATTTTTCGAGTAGTGTGGTGTGCTATAGTGCCTTTAAAGCTGCGGCCTTGATTGTTGTAACCTTGATCGTACACTTTCTAAACAAGAGAGGCATGACACTCTTTGAAATGTTGCATTTGGTCCAAAGAGCATTCTCGATTGTACCTAACAGGTTGTGAGGGTTCAGCTGCCAGAATATTGCTCTACATAATGTCACCTTTATTGTCATACGATCTTTCGGAGAATTGTTTGTCTGTCTGATTCTTCATGTATAGATATGGTTATGAAACAGATGATGAGGTGTCATTGGCACCCTTTGTCTCAAGTTGAGGTGGGTAAATCAGTGTGAGGGAATGGGCTTTTAGAGGTTATTGAGTGACACCTAAAGCCTAAGTAAACCTTTTGGCCGTATTTGTGGATGTGTCTAATCCAGTAAAAGAAAGGGAAACTGATATGTTGATGGTAGATATGTCAAAAGATGCATGGTCTGGGACAGAAGTCTACACCAATTAACATCCTGGCCTTATACGTGTCATTATATGGTATGTCACTGATACCAAGTTCCGTTTATCAATTATAGTATTTTATTTATATTTGTGTCAGTGGGATCCCTCATAAACTCTTCATAGAGGCCAGGCAGACTTTTGACGTTTGGTTGGGACAGAAGTGTGTATTTCCTATTCTTCTTCAGCTTGTGCTTTCTACCAATAGACACATGAGGCTAAAAAACATCCCACTCTGAAGGGCTTTCAAGAGGTTTCTGTTCTCTTTTGGCCTGCCCAATGAATATAAGGCAGGTCACATTTTTGGTACGATATTTGAAGCACTAACGAATAACTGAAAGTAATTGCTTTCAACAAAAGAACCATCAGAGGACAATCTGACGCAAATATTCAACTGGAAATATAAGGACCCGTTTGCCAGAATGTTCTTTTTGGCTTTTCAGTGCTAGAACGGAGAAGACGCTCCATGTCAAGACAATCCAGGTTTTTGGACGTCATGGTACAGTTTCACACTCATCTCTCTTCTTTTTATTAGTGAAAACAAGACCACGTAAACTCTTCTCGATTGATATTTAGTCATGAGTAACCTTTGTCATCACTGTATGGGTGTAGCATTGTATATACGATGTAAACATTATACTCTCCCACTCGCTGTGAATGGTAATACTGTTCAATATATTGGGAGGAAGCTTGCAAGACAACGAAAATCCGGTCGACTTCAAGGAAATATCGACTGGTGTTCGGGCAGTTTGAGCGAAGGTTGTGGTGCATGATTCAGGTACTGTAAGAGCCCTTGTTCCCAAGAGGATGGTCTGGATTTGGTTGCTGGTGGTGTTTTATTGCATGACTAATGATGGATTTTCACCTACCTACTGTGGTACTTACCCACTTGTTTACCCTTCTTGACTGGTATTTAATCATGAGTAACATTTGTCATCACTGTATGGGTGTAGTATTGTAGATACGATGCACACATTACACTCTCTAACTCGCTGTGAACGTTGATACTGTTTAATATATTAAGAGGAAGCATGTTATTGCAAGGCTCACGTTCCCTACTTGATGGCATTAATTGTCAAAGCGGAAATGTCTCGTTACTTTAATTATTTGTTTTTCTTTATTCATATTTACGTAGTTTCTGGTTTCTTTGATTACTGGAAATTTCGAAGATTTTCTATGCTATTCTACTTTACAAATTCATCATCTTCACATTACGTCAAGTTTCCGTCAAACACTCACTATTTCGAATTTGTGATTTTTCAGGTTTTATCCCGTTATTTGTTGCTGCAATTTTGAAAGAAACTTGAAATGGCGAGCGATCTTAGTAATGCGGGAAAATATTTTACAGTGAATCCTTGAATCAGTATCAACGTAGGGTGTAAATCTTCTTTCAGACATCATCGTCGATGAAAGACAAACGCGTCACCGAAACACCATCAGCAGCACGTGGAAAAAGTTTGTTCCAGAAGGATTCCTGTACAAGGGCCAGTGGTACATCATGCCAAAACCACTGGAAATTAGCGTTAACTCTCTAACGAAGTGTCTTTCAAACCGAAACCTACTTCTGTTCGGAGACTCGACACTTAGGCAGTTCTATTCCCACCTGTTCAAGAGGCTTCAGATGGAGTCTTTAACAGGGAACTGGACTACAGAACAGTGGCACAGACAGAGCAGGAGTCAGAGGGAAGACCTCAACTTCAAAATGAGCTGGACACCCCATGAGCTTCCGTTATACTTCGGCGATGCCACCCGAGCTACAGCCAGACCAGTGTATGTCAATGTTGATGAAATACCAAGTGGATCTAATGATCTTGTTGTCATACATATGTATGCCCATTTTACCAACCACCAGCCCCATGTGTACAGAGAAAGTATTCGACGTACAGCTAATGCAGTAAAACGGCTGTTACAAAGGTCTCCCAAGGTTATTGTAGGTATCAAAGGACCACACTACTATACATATCCCGACAACCTTGCTGGAGGTTGGAGTCACATCTATGACACCATTATCAGAGAGGAATTCCGAGACGTATCGTCAAAGGTTATCTACATAAATGCATGGGATGTCGTTTTGGCGTCCAAGGCTCGTGAACTTCATCCCGTGGCCTGGGCAGTTGAAGCAACATTCAACTCGTTTCTCAATGATGCTTGTTAACTGATTGATTCATTGTTTATCGCCGCACTCAGCAAAATTCAGGCTATATGGCAGCGGGCCGCAAATAATCGTGTCTGGACCAGACATTCCAGTGATCAAAGGCTTCAACACCGATCTACGCATTTTCGACACGATGGCATGTGTCAATCAAGTCATCGAGCCTGACCATCCATTAGTCAAGGTTTGACGTAGCGAGGTCGTGTGTCGTAATGCGGTTAGCTTTTCGTGGTCTAGTTCGCTGTCGCCCCAGATACCGGAAACGACACAAGAAGCGTTTTGCTATTATGATGGGGGAGATAGGTTACGCCATGTTTCAAATGAATAACTGTCAATATAGTACATAAGACAAAATGTATTCACTCTTTTTTATCAAGCTTAATGAGTAACATTTTACATGTGTTCATGTTAATCTCAATTACTGCAATACCACTGGAATAATGTTACAATGACAATGAAAAAGAATTCCGTTTTATGCTACCACCTCGTGTAATCATACATAGACTGGTCCAATCAAGGATGACCACATGGATTTGATCGTGTCAAGTTAGGCCTACTGTTCATTAGCGAAGCTGACGTTTATGGTAGAAGTGTGTATGCCTTGAAACATTCCCATCACTGACACAATTTAAGAACTTTGCAAGTGTGAAGAGGGCCTAGATGATGAAACAGTGGCAACGGCACGAGAATAGACGCATTGGCATTTGTTTGCTCTGTTTTCGCGATCAGACCCCTGCAAAATGGCCGTGTACGACGTCTTCTGTACACTGCTAGATTCAGTGCAGTATGATTTTAGACTTTTGATCATTTTTATGCCCAGTAATTTTGCAAATTTCTCTGTTTTCGATTCCGGCAAGTGTGACGGCAGTTGCGCGAAGGCAGTGATTTGTGTACGTGTGTGGCAACCTGGCATTCTTGGAGATGTTTTTCATCATTTTTGACAGTGAATTTTTGCCAACGCACAGTGAGGTGTACCAAACAGAATCGCGGATATCGGCGAAAGAACGATACATTATTGGGATTCATGTGGGCTTTGTACGATTTGAAGAATGAAACTGGACAGTGGCATAGATCCCTTTGTTTGGCTCAATGGAATCTGTCAAATTGCCACGGTGATTTTTTGTGAGTCATTTGTGTGTCATTTCAATATATTCACAGCCGTCGTCATCAACAGAGATCTGAAAAGACAATGAAGTGATGCCTGGTTTTCATTGCCCCGACAGGCGAAACCAAGAGTTATTTCAAACCATACTTTAGGCCGACAAGGGATCATCGCCAGCTCGGTCGCGGGGACTGAACAGCGTGGTGTTTCGTTTTATCTAGGCCCTCATTTTCGTTTTCTGACAAACATTGTTTGCAGTATGGAAATCTTTGTCATTCACCATATTGATGGCACTTTTAAATGTAGGAGAACTCAGATGGGGATTGATGGCCGCCCGCAAGCCGATGAAGGTAGACTTTGAATACAGTTCGCCACGACCATTCCTCACTTCAGCGTAGATTTAGGAAGATAGGTGTTCGGTGCTTGAGCATCAAATTTCTTAAGTCGGAAGGATGGCCCCTATCTTGGAGCTACTCTGCGACTAAAGAAAAGGTAAGATTATAAGGTAAGAAATTTGTTAGAAAATCATAGATATTTATCCACGCTACAGTACAGTATACCTTGCAGGTGTGTATTAAATGTTGGGCTAAAATATTTACGTAATCATTAACAGGTTGTTGCATTAAGTTAACTATTAAAATGTATGTAAATTCGCATTTTTCCGCCAATGCAGAATGTTCATGTGTATGCTTCATTTATTTATGGTGGATAAACACATTTTGTGAAAGACGTTTCGCCAGTGTAAACTATTCAGGGGAGGTAACTATCAATTTCTTTCTCTTTGTTTACAAAATGTCGTAGGGACGCACTACGGAACAGTTTAACACACCAGACCGTATTTCTGTTGGTCGCCTTTAATAATTTGTCATTTGCAAAGCTGGTGCCGCTCAGGCCAGACGATACTGATGGAAGCTCGCTCGTCGAGGCCAGAGCTGGGTCCGGGATTTTGACAGCGTTAGCCGAGTTGTCAACCTGAATTATCGAGTTGTCAACCTGGATTTTACGTCAGGCTCTTGGAGAAAGTCGAAACCTATTCGCAAATAAAAATTCATGTCTTTAACAATTGTAAGTATTCCTTTAAATTTTATTTATTTGTCAATTCTCAGACATACAACACTGTCCTTTGTAGAATAAATGTGTTTGCACGATATAGATTTTACGTCTCTTCAATAATTACTTTAAATAGCATATACGCGTTCGGTTAGATAAACAAATAAAATACTTACCTGCATCATTCATGAACTCCTCCAAAATGGCATCATCTCCAAATATTTCATCAGAGGAAAGGGAAAAAATCTGAAACACGAAATAGAGTTAGCCTCCATTATGGAAATAATAGTAATGCATATTCTTACGTATCATTGGTCTGTTATTCGGCTATTGTAATTCAGGGAATCGAACTATATTCGACGAGGTTTCTCGACCAATGAAACTGCAGAAACACTCACTATTTGTTGACAATATGAAATGTTCAGGTACTCCAGGACCGTGTACCTCCGTTCTGCATGTCTGAAAGGATCAGGTACACTTGGACCATGTACCTCCGTTCTGTATGTCTGAATTGATCAGGTACACTTGGAGCGTGTACCTCCGTTCTGTATGTCTAAAATGATCAGACAGACAGGTTTATTCGGTAATTTAGGCCCAAGGCCCATAATACATACATTTCGCAAAAGTAAATTCATACTGAGTAAAGCTAAGTAAAGTTTAGTTTTGATTTGTTTTACAGTTATTCATTCCTTCTACGGCGAACTTGTGATAGATATTTACTAAATGATTTTAAAATATGTATATTGTCCGATGACAACAATCGGATGGAGGTTTCAATTGTTGGTGGTTGAGTCAGTTGTATTGAAAAGCAATCAGATCTTTGTTGGGAATATTTTGGACATATTAAGAAAATATGGAGTTCATCTTCGATGTAATCAAGGCCAGCAGCATGACAAAAGAGGCAGAGACGTTCATTATACGGGGTATTTGTATGACGGCCACATTCCACTGCGAGTCTGAAGTTACAGCACCGAAACTGAGTTATTAGTTTACGTTGATTTGGTAACAATTCACTGGTTAAATATGGTTCGACGCTTAGAGATGGTTTAAATTGTGAATAGTATTTACATTTGGGTGACGAAAATAGTGATGCGTGCCAGTTTTGAGTGAAGCAGTCATAGAATCTCTGTTTAAACATTTCCATGAATGTGGATTACAGCCTATGTCTTGAGATATCCATAAGAAATCAAATCTATATTGGAATAATATCAACCTAATATGAGAAGCCCATGTTGTTTTACCATTATCATCGAGAGTTTTCATCATTAGATATGCCTGATAAGGAAGTCTGTTTCGTGGAAGCTGTATCAGTCTGCACCAGTGCTTGACTGCTCTTAAGATATATTGATACTGAAGGGGAGCTCTCCCACACTCTCCCAGAACCATGTTGTTGTTGGTAGTTTTACTAACTTTAAGAAATGACATGCAAAATCTGGTGTGCACAGTTTCAATAATTTTACAGTAGCTTGTTCTCCATATTTCAGATCCGTAACAGAGTATTGGTGCAATCATAGAGTCAAATATATTAAACAATTCACGATGGTTAATATATCCAAAACGTTTGTGATAATTGTTGATAGAAAATATGGCCTTCCTCGCTTGAGACGATAAACAGGTTTTCTCTTTTGTCCATGATAATCTTGGAGTAAACACAATACCTAAGTATCTATACATATTAACAACCTCAATTTGTGTTCCATTTAAAAACCACTTCTCATAATCCCTGAGCGGACCCCCATTGCGAAATACCATTATTTTTGTCTTTTTCAGGTTCACCTTCATTCTGCACAAAACTTTTCAACGACATTAATTTCCCTTTGGAGCTGCATAACACTGTCAGATACAGATGAGACATCATCAACAAATAGGAGAGAATAAACACCCTTGGCTTGTGAAATATATAAATACCTCTTCCGCCATCATTCTCCAGCATTTGTGATAGTTGATTTATAAAAATAATGACAATTTGACCATGTACTAGGACCATGTACCTCCGTTCTTTATTTCTGCAATGATCAGATACACTTGGACCATGTACCTCCGTTCTTTATTTCTGAAATAATCAGGTACACTTGGACCATGTACCTCCGTTCTGTTTGTCTGAAAGGATCAGGTACACTAGGACCATGTACCTCCGTTCTGTATTTCTGAAATGATCAGGTACACTTGGACCATGTACCTCCGTTCTGTATGTCTGAAATGATCAGGTACACTAGGACCATGTACCTCCGTTCTGTATGTCTGAAATGATCAGGTACACTAGGACCATGTACCTCCGTTGTACATGTCTGAATTGATCATTTACCTCTTTTCTTCTTCATTCTTCGTGAAAATTTTCTTTCCGAAAGAAAAGAATATAAAAAAACCCAAAAAGCCACCAGCCTTGAAGGACGCCAGCTTGAGAGATCCAGCGTGATAACTAAATGCCGGGATACCCTAACTCTGACACACGGCAGTCGTAGACAACAACATCCAGACGTACATTTTCACTGTAACCAATTTTATCGCTGAAGATCAACACGGCATTTGACATAGGCAAGTGATTACGCTTCATTTGAAACTGGGATTCAAATGTATGTGATGATCGGTCAGCTCAAACACCTGACTCACCCGTTTAAGATATCACTGTTTAGTAAATCTACAATGTTATTACACGTTGTGTAATAACGTCGCGGGATGCCGGAACTATTTGCACTCGGTCACATGACCAGAGTGGTCATTTAAGAAAACGTTCAATGTTCTTTGCTCGGTTGCGTGTAATATAAAAACAGGATACGTTCGTTAAAATCATTTGGTCTCTTTTTCATACCCCCTTGTTTATTTCTTTAAAAACAAATTAAAATAGACATATTGTTGACAATCATAAATGAAATGTATTCATACGCGGGACCCCTGTTATGACGGCGTAAAGCACTCTGTTCTGTAAGTTGAATTCTGAGATATTGTTTTGCTAATGTTGGATGAGTAAGATACCAAACCATTTACTTGTTTCATAAATATTGTATTACACGGAACATCGCTCAGCATTCTCCTTGTATGTTTCGGCTTACATTGTAAGCCATGCAGGTAAATACCGATATGTGGCACGTGCACGAAGTGTAACAATCCGTCGGTTTGCAGGTAACATGCCCACCAGGTGTGTATGGAGACACTTTACCACCAGGTGTGTATGGGAGACACTTACCACCAGGTGTGGATTGTGTATGGGAGACACTTACCACCACTTACCACCAGGTGTTCATGGGAGACATGCACTTACCACCACCAGGTGTATGGGAGACACTTACCACCAGGTGTGTATGGGAGACACTTACCACCAGGTGTGTATGGGAGACACTTACCACCAGGAGTGTATGGGAGATACTTACCACCAGGTGTGTATGGGAGACACTTACCACCAAGTAGACTTGCAATGGGTACCAGTCGAATTGCCCCAGTTACAAAATGACCCAGCAAATTTGGTCAAAATGCCCCGGAACTTTGGTCAAATTGCGCCAGGGGGTAGTCAAAATGACCCAATTTAAAATGATTGAATATATGCCGTAAATGCATTGTTTTGGTCAACTTTCATATTATATTCTTCATATGAAAGTTATTAGGAAGTAATATTTCTGATAAATGTTCCATTAGTAAACTCATGAGGGCAAAAGGAATATCCCTGTGTAGAAAACATGGTAATACCAATTACTGTACATGTTATTAATGTTTTTGTACAAGAAGTACAAGAATTATATAACATACTTCATAATAACTTATATTTGAAGAATATAATATCAAAGTTGACAAAAACTATACATTTATGGCATACTTTTAATCATTTTAAAAAATGGGGGCATTTTGACTACCCCCCTCGGGCAATTTGACCAACGCTGGGGCAATTTGACCAAAAATCCAGGGCAATAAGTTCATGAACACGATTATCATAAGTATCATCAACTTTAACATAGTTTTGCCAGCGGTCAACATATTTAGGGGTGCTTAACCTCATCCGTTTCACAGCCTCCCCAGTTCTGTCTTCACTAGTAGGGGATTCTAGTATTTGTTTGATCAACATAGCTCAGTTCGATAGCTGTAGGTGTGATGCCCATTTCTGGAGTTCCTCCGCTGTGATATTGCTGGATTATTGCTAAAGGCGGCGTCAAACTAAACTCACTCACTCACACGATAGCTGTAGGTAACATCACTTGAGTTTCATGTTCAGTAGAGATGGGCCTATCGTAAAGTGTTTTGAAATGATTATACCAAGTTTCCAGTTGATCAAACAACAGGTGATTCTGAATGAAACTATCGTATTTCTATCTAGACCTAGAACACCCAGCGATGCAGAACTAACGATGGTTTTGTACCTATGCTAATGGCTATTTATACAGTTAGCGGTAAATGAACCTATATTATACGGTATCCATCAATACACACGTGTTACCTATTTTCGTGGGTAATGAGGTGCAGCTTGTTTGCAATCACATTCTGGCTCTAGGTTCTTGAAAATTGCAAATTACACCCAGATGATACGCGTGTACAATACGTTGTTATTCATGCAACGATGGATGCCGAAACGTGAAATCATGCATCTGACATTTTGAAAAAAACCCAGCAATTCTATATTTCAACTCACTCAGCAATATATACTACCCATCAAAAGTTTAGACTCACTAGCCACTTTCTTCAGTCAACTGTTCTAAACCTGATTTGGCAAAATATTCCTTACTGTTTAAAGGTTCTGTTTACACATGAACTGATGTATTGTAAAACAGATTCGTAACGTTGAAAAGATTATTGTCATGAATTCAGTAAATGATGAAAATCAGTGAAAATTGGCGAATTCTTAAGAAAACTATACACCAAAACGCAGCTGTTCACATGAACGATATTTGCACGTTTTTAAGAAGTTTGATGCAAAATCCTCGTACTATTCATCTGCATAAAGTTTGCAGTTGGTTCCCCGAAGTTAGTGGAGAAATTCTTCGTCGATGTAACCATATATATCCATAACATATAGTGAGTGCTTTAGGTGAGTCTGACCGCCTCCGTGGTGTAGGGGTTAGAGCGTCCGCCCGGAGAGCGGAAGGTCGCGGGTTCGATCCCCGACCACGTCATACCAAAAGACGTTAAAATATGGTACTTGTTGGTCCCTGCCTGGCGCTCGGCATTAATGGGTACAACAAGGACTGGTCGGCTCGGAGTCAGTATAATGTGTCTGAGTGTGGGGTATTCATGCTTCACTGCGGCATGGTATCTCGGTGGGCTAGCACTATAAAATCAGCTTAAGTCTGGGCTAGTACAAGCAGCCGCACATACACATACACACACGCATGCACGTCGTCATATGAGCGAAATATTCTCAAGCACGACGTTAAACCCAATTTCACCTAAACTTTTGATGGGCAGTATACATCAGTACTCCAGCAAGAGCACTGACGATTCATGTTAGAATTGATCTCCAGCAACCATCACAGGCGACACATGTCATCGTATGCCAGTTGCGTAGATCGATGCTCATGCTGTTGATCACTGGCCTGTCTGGTCCAGACTCAATTATCTACAACCCGCCGCCATATAGCTGGAATATTGCTAAGTGCGGTGTAAAGCTAAATTGCTCACTCACTCACTCTAACTTTGTTATGGCTACATATGTTATTAGTACATATTTGTGTTTAAAAATCTGCTTGTCTCTTTGCTGTTTAACGGCGCACACGTGTTATTTTTTTCGTGTCAATAATCGAGTCAGGAACTGTGTGCCTGACACCATGACCATCGATCGATCTTCGCAAATGGGACACGAAGGCATGCATCAAGCCGGTCAGTTAGACAACCCGATCCCGTAGGTACCTCTCACTAAATTTCATGCCTTGCTGAAGACCAATTCCATCGGGATATTTACGCGTCCAAAATAATTGTGAATCTATTGTGAGATAGATTCGTGAATATGTTAAAGGGCGTGTTTATTTGTGGATAATTCGCAATGATAATATTCCCTGATAGACAATGGGCATTAACATATGTCGCCAATAACAGCTGGTCACGACATAAGCTGTACCCAACAGCGGGAAATTGTAATCATCCAACCTGAATGTAAGCAATGTAAGCTATTCAGTACATGATAACATGTTTGTACAGCCATTGGAGGACGTGGTTGGTGTCTTAGAGATAGGATCTGTGAGCAACACCTTCTTTCCAAATATTCATGAAGTATTACCCAGTTAGCAGTAGTAGTGTAACGATTCATCGATACGCATCGATGCATCGATCCATGAGCCGCCGATGCAGTGGATCGATACAAAGTTTTACATTGTCGTATATCCCGATACGATACTTCAAATGGGTCACGATACATCGATGTTTTACTTTAAATATTGCCGAATAGCGATATCTATAAAGAAAGTCTTACTTTTGATGATTAAAATATATGCATACTTATTTTCCCTTCATAAGTTTTTCGGAAATCCTTGCGTCAGGAACTGTGTCAAACATAGCGCTCGCACTTCATTAACATTCACGAAGTCCGTGCATAAACTTAATTATCTGATTTCCGAATGAACATTGAAAAACTCTGGCGGAATTTGACGAAATACTTTAAAATGGTTTTGTTTTGATATTAAGGTGTTTTATAGTTGGTGTTAGAATTAAAGATTTTAGTATCGTGATACGTATCGTATCGCCACCATAGGATCGAGATTCGTATCGAATCGCAGCTTCAGTGCACAATACTTTGGCAATATATCGTCGTGACTAAAATTTTAGTATCGTGATGTATCGTATCGCAGGTGTATGCCAATACCAGCACTAGTTACCAGATCTGACATGCCTACCACACATACCCAGAAATATACCCATAGAAACGAATAAAGGAGCACACGAAACTACAAGTGTTCCCTTTATTTCCAGAATTTTACTCACAGTGCAATACATACCTTGTGAAGAAACCTGGAAAAAATAAAGGAACACTTGTATTTCCATGTGTTCCCTTATTCGTTTCCATGATAATACCTATTAATGGCAAGGCCAAAACAGTTCAGCAAGTATAGAGGCCTTCAGTTACGTCAAACTATAAGAAATTCATTTTATATTTTCAACTTACAACCTCGAGAAAGAAATGTTCGGATAATAGCATTCATGTTTTCGGATAATATTGCCGTGTCTTTGCATGATAGCATCATGTTTTTTAATAATAGCGCAGTGTCTTTGGATAATAACATTAATGTCTTTGGATAATAGCGCCGTGGCTTTGGATAATAGCATTAAAGTTTTCGGATAATAATGCCATGTCTTTGGGTAATAGCATTCATGTCTTCGGATAATATCGTTATGTCTTTGGATCAAAGCGTCAATTTTTTGGATGATAGGATTCATGTTTTCGGACAAAAGCGCCGTGTCTTCGGATAATAGCAGTCACGTCTTCAGATAATATTGCCGTGTCTTTGGATGATATTGTTCATGTCTTCGGATAATAGCGCCGTGTCTTCGGATAATAGCATTCGCGTCTTCAGGTAAAAGCATTCGTTAAATGATTTCATTCCTGTCTTTGGTTAATATTAATGTGTCTTGGCTTGTAATACCATCGTGTTTCTGTTTAATGGCATTGAGAACGCTTTATCCTCAGTTTATAGGTCTCGATGTGTAATAGCATTGTGTCTTTTTGTCTTCTCAGCTTGATTATCAATAGCATCTTGCCCTTGTATAACAGCGTCGTCTCGGCGTGTAATAATTTAGTATCGCGTCTCAGAACAACAACCTCAAGTTTTTAGTGATGTACAGAAAGCTTGCAATTAGGTTTGAAAATTTATCGAACAAAATATATCATAGCATCATATTATGGAACCAAATTTGAAATAAACTGCTACAAAAGTACATTGTTACACAAGGGGCCTTTAAAATAATATTCAGCCTCAAAGTTTTTCACCAAAACCTGAAAACACACTTTCTTTATTCAGTGATGAGCTGCCAATACAGTTGATAATTTTAATTTCTATAGGTTTCTGCCTCCCGAATCGAACTTTTAGTTATTCATTTGGCCACATGCCGTTCTTGTACACGTTACTGCCGCTCAGGGTCCAGTTCCATTGCTTTACTGAAGTGTTCCAGTTCTCGCCATAACTGGCAGTGATGTAGGGCAGAGTCGGGCAGGGGATTCGCACACGACAACCCATGAAGTCAGTCCAGCATGTGTCCGACTTGGGAAGAACGAACCTGGAATTAGATTCCTGTTTAGATTTAAGTCTAACTATTGACAGAAGTAGAACATACTGCAATGATGTTTATAGTTAGTCCAGTGGATGTGTGAATATCAGATGTCGTACATTACAGTTAGTCCAGTGGATGTGTGAATATCAGATGTCGTACATTACAGTTAGTCCAGTGGATGTGTGAATATCAGATGTCGTACATTACAGTTAGTCCAGTGGATGTGTGAATATCAGATGTCGTACATTACAGTTAGTCCAGTGGATGGAAGTCCAGTGGATGTGTGAATATCAGATGTCGTACATTACAGTTAGTCCAGTGGATGTGTGAATATCAGATGTCGTACATTACAGTTAGTCCAGTGGATGTGTGAATATCAGATGTCGTACATTACAGTTAGTCCAGTGGATGTGTGAATATCAGATGTCGTACATTACAGTTAGTCCAGTGGATGTGTGAATATCAGATGTCGTACATTACAGTTAGTCCAGTGGATGTGTGAATATCAGATGTCGTACATTACAGTTAGTCCAGTGGATGTGTGAATATCAGATGTCGTACATTACAGTTAGTCCAGTGGATGTGTCAGATGTCGTACATCAGATGTCGTACATTACAGTTAGTCCAGTGGATGTGTGAATATCAGATGTCGTACATTACAGTTAGTCCAGTGGATGTGATCAGATGTCGTACATTACAGTTAGTCCAGTGGATGTGTGAATATCAGATGTCGTACATTACAGTTAGTCCAGTGGATGTGTGAATATCAGATGTCGTACATTACAGTTAGTCCAGTGGATGTGTGAATATCAGATGTCGTACATTACAGTTAGTCCAGTGGATGTCGTACATTGAATATCAGATGTCGTACATTACAGTTAGTCCAGTGGATGTTTGAATATCAGATGTCGTACATTACAGTTAGTCCAGTGGATGTGTGAATATCAGATGTCGTACATTACAGTTAGTCCAGTGGATGTGTGAATATCAGATGTCGTACATTACAGTTAGTCCAGTGGATGTGTGAATATCAGATGTCGTACATTACAGTTAGTCCAGTGGATGTGTGAATATCAGATGTCGTACATTACAGTTAGTCCAGTGGATGTGTGAATATCAGATGTCGTACATTACAGTTAGTCCAGTGGATGTGTGAATATCAGATGTCGTACATTACAGTTACCAGTTAGTCCAGTGGAGTCCAGTGGATGTGTGAATATCAGATGTCGTACCATTACAGTTTGGAGTCCAGTGGATGTTATGAATATTGATTGTAAAAGCACACGAGATTATAATACATGATTTGAAGACGCGCATTGTTAACATTCACCTATACTTCTCGCCACTTTGGAGTTTTTTACATGTGTATATAATGACGATAAACATATAAATAACAGCTTCCAGCTTCTGTAACTCTCTGGGTCAGACTACGGAGCCTTCACAGATATAATGCATTACAAATACAACAATGTTTTACTTTGTCTACAAATACTACCATATGACAATATGGAAAAGGGCGGTGGGGTAGCCTAGTGGTTGGTGCATTCTCTCGTCACGACGAAGACACGCGTTCGATTCCCCATATGGGCACAGTGTGTGAGGCCCATTTCTGGTGTCCCAAGCCGTGATATTACTGATTATTGCTAAAAGCGGCGTAAAACTAGATTCTCTCACTCAATTTGGAAAGGGTTTTGTTGATTGTATTTAATGTGAAAGGCGACATAAAAACGCGTATTATCTACTCTCACCTGTACTTGTCGCCAGTTTGTTGGTGGATTGATCCAGCCCATGTATGTGTCTTCTCCTCGTAGACGAAGTACACGTCAAGCATGATTGTGTGAGCTCTAAATACCATCTGGTAACCGTCGGATAACTGGAACAGAATGGATCTTTAAAACGTGATATTTAAAATCTTTTGCATGGCACAATCCTAACAACAATATTTTACAGAACCTTGCATGGCAATTTCACAATGGACCATTGTAGATGAATAAGTATATTTCAAGTAAACCTAGATGTTATATTTCGCCAAACGTCGTGCCCAGTTTCAAGATGGAGACGTAACTACATCTGTGCTCAGAGTTTTCTGATTTAACACAATTGCTTCGTTCGTTTCTGCGATCGGGCGGTAGGGTAACCCAGTGGTTCAAGCGTTTATTCGTCACGCCGAAGACCCAGGTTCGATTCCCCACATGGGTGCAAAGTGTGAAGCTCATTTCTGGTGTCCACACCGTGACCATATTGCTAAAAGCGGCGTAAAACTAAACTCAATCAAGGATGTTAACATCTCAATACAACCTTCGTGTTCCTGCTAAACAGAGGTATATCTTGAGTGCGTGAGTGAGTTAAGATTTCTAGTCACATCAGTATATCAGCCATATAGCGACAAAACAAGTTATTCATTCATGACACATAAACACCGCCTGTATAAAAAAGGACAGTAAAATAAATAGAATATCGATTAGATATAGCTGTAATACTAGCATGTAGATTCTAAAACTATTGACAATACAATATGTAACAGACTATTAATCGCCAACAACTGAAGGTAGATCACCATACTAAAGACCATGGTAACTGCTGGTACTTTGCTTCCTGCGTGGACCATTTCTGGATTTACACCATCACTTTAGCCGTTGGAGAAAATTTTCCTAACAATTCAATTTCTGATTAAAAATCAACAATAAAATAACAAATAGGCCTTCGGCCTAGGTGATGGATTGAACCTAGTAACCTTAAAGTGCTTGTACAAGCCCCAGTATAAATGATGGAGCCGTAATCAAGTTTAGAACGGATAAGAGCTCAGAACAGCTTGAAAAGTGTTTTGAATCCCTCCCTATCTCATGTTTGAAATAACTGTTAATATATCAAGCGTCTTCAGGCAAAAGGTCAAGTGGTGATCGAAAATAATACCCAGGAACTTTTGCTTCCAGGTGAGTATGGAAATCTTTGAGTGGCAGGATATCAAGTCTCAGAGTATTCACTCACTCCTGCAGATGAATGACAAACTTTATGGATGAACAGTGGAATAAAGAACTTGTTCATCCATAAAGCTTGTCCTCATCTGACAATGGAAATATTGGAGAGAAATTTATGGATATCAAGACAACCTTTCGGAGTATTCACTTACTCCTTCAGATGAATGAAAGCTGGAATATAGACAGTGTACGAGTACCCTGTGTATATGTAAATACACAGCGTATATATGTACATGTAAGGAGAACAAGGACAATACAAGTCGTAATGAACATTCCCCTTGTGAAGTTCAATCGGTCTTATACAGTACCTTATAAGCATCTGTGTGACGATTCACCAACAAGAATAAGTTATGAAAGGTCGCATAAAGAACAAAAAGAAACTGTTATCCATAAAACGTGTCATGCATTCATGTTTGTCCAACTTCTAAATGTGTCTCACGAACTTAACCATCAAATGTTGCTTGTAACAGGTGTACATGAAAAGTGAGTACATCATAAACACTCGCAAAGGCACAGCAATTGCATAAATCCGCATGTCATTTTCCCTACAGAGGAGTATTAATACACCTGCACCAAAGAAGAGTTAAAACCTGAATACCTTCAATCCACATGTTAAGATCCCAAAGGCTTACCTCCCCATCCACTCGGACGAGTTCAAACCCTGCCTTCAAAATAGCCGGCAGGATGCTTGCGCTGTAATCCTGAATAGGAATCTCAATGTCCATATCGTTGGTATATGGGATGAAACCACACTGGCGATACCAACCTGATTAATGAGAAAACAATCTTTTATGTTGTCTTAGTACTTAGTACTACAGAACAGATTTTAGGACATCCCATCACGGGCTACGTCCCAACGTCCTTCTTCTGACCAATCTGAGTGCTGATTACCAGATGTGGAAAGAGACAGTCAGAATGTATTGAAACAAGGAGTATTGAAATGGTTAAGGTGTTGAACTGGTTAACACGTATTGAAATGGTTAAACACGGGTTTGTTGAGGATGTGTTGAAATTATTAAACACGGAGTATTGAGGGACATGTGTTGAACTGGTTAAAACGGTATTAAGAATGTTGAAATGGTGAACACAAGGGACTGAGGATGTGTTGAACTGGTTAAAACGGGGTATTGAGAATGTGTTGAAATGGTGAACACAAGGGACTGAGGATGTGTTGAACTGGTTAACACGGAGTATTGAGAATGTGTTGAAATGGTGAACACAAGGGACTGAGGATGTGTTGAACTGGTTAACGCGGAGTATTGAGAATATGTTGAAATGGTGAACACAAGGAACTGAGAATGTGTTGAAAGGGTTAACACTGGGTTGATGAATAATAAATCAAATTAAAATCTTAGTTTTCGATAAGCTGACAAAGATCGGAGGGTGCCCCGTTACGGTCACATTAAAACGACTCCTCTGCTGATCTATCTGAGCGTCGAAAACATTACCATTGTTGGAAAGACAGCCAGGATGTGTTTCCTATGTTATCCATAGAAATGGTTATTCCCCACATGGATACAATATGTGAAGCCCATTTCTGGTGTCACTCGCCGTGATATTGCTGAAATATTGCGAAAGCGGCGTAAAACAAAACTCACTCACTCGAAATGATTAACACGAGCTTTTCAGAGCAAAGTTACAGACTGTGCGACTGATCTCGTCAAAATCTATTCAGCGTCAATAGGTTAAACATCGGAAACGGTCACGCAATCTGGCCTTCTATTAAACATAGACTTTCCTTTGTTTAGTTTTTAAACCATTGGATTATCAATGTTCCTGAAATGTCTTAATGACTGCTATGTGATGCCATTCTGTCGTCGGGTAGCTCCAGTCAGTACTAACGTCGTATTGCAGTAAGATTGATAAATATAATCCGCAATGTCAGGAGTAATCAAAATATTACACGCCCTTGCTCTCTCTGCTTCTCTACCACTTTTCGAGTAACTCACAAAGGATTCTACGCTAGTGCTTGTCTGCCAAGGTTTGGTTCGGTTGTTGTTTTACGCCGCACTCAACAGCATTCCAGTTATATATCGGCGCTCTGTAAATAACCGAGTCTGGACAATCCAGTGATCGACATCATGATCAACAGCATCTACGCAATTGGGATGGGCTGGGGAGGGGGTTGACAACCATTATTGGCATGAGTATATATGGTAGTACGTACATTGTAGGTGTATTAATAATTAATTCTAGATATAATTCGATTCAATTCAAGATATCTTGAAATAATTTATACATATTCAAAAACGCATTATACATGTCTTCCACTCATTTAATGATATCATAAGATATCAGTAACTTCTAAATACATTACACGTGAAAGTCCAGGTTAGAATATTGATCTTCAGTAACCCATGCTTGTCTTGGTTGACACGTGTCCTCTGTTCCCTATTGTGCAAATCAATGCTCATGCTGTTGATCACTGGATTGTCTGACCCAGACTCGATTATTTACAGGCCGCCGCCATATAGCTGGAATATTGCTGAGTGCGGCGTAAAACTAAACTCACTCACTCACTCTAAATACATAATCTCTATGTTAGTCGCCTCTTACGACAAGCATCGGTTACTGAAGACCAATTCTAACCAGAATCTTCACGGTTCGTGAAATAATTAAGATAAATATAAGATGATCTCACCAAGAAATGTGCCAGCGGCGATCCGGAACCGGACGCCAAGGTGGTCCAGTGACCTTTAATTAGTAACAGGACTTTTGCCCCATTTCGTGTAATGTGACTGCTTGTTTGAGGGTTTGCCCTGAGAAATGCTTGTGCTCTGTGATAGTCACACTCGATGAACTTCGCCTTTCGCATCTGGACAAGGAACTCCTCTACTGGACGAGGGACGTGGATGAACATGCCGTCCACCATCCCGGGACGCACTTCGAATCTAGTTTGGAAAGGAGAGTCGACATACACTGTAGTTCTACTTGATGGATAAATGATAACCTGATAACTGAATGATAACCTGATAACTGAAAGGGATGGCGGGGTAGTCCAGGGATTAAAGCGTTCGCTCGTCACGCCGAACACCCAGGTTTGATGGCCCATATGAGTACAATGTGTGAAGCACATTTCTGATGTTGCTGGAATATTGCTAAAACTCACTCACTCATAACTGAATAACTACCCTCGATAAGTATCCTCACAAAACCAAACAAAATAAACATTTGCTTTAGATATGTTGTGAAATCATGTTGTGAAATCAGTTTTGCCATATGCTTGAGGAGAGAAAGTCATGATTATTCAATGCAAGTCTTCATCTGTGACGATCCAGGGTTAGAATTGGTTTCCAGCAAATAGCTGGAATATTGCTGTGTAAGGCGTAAAACAACAAACAAACAATGCCAAAATAATCAACACCAATAGCATACATCTCTCACTGATGGTTGTGAGAAAGTATTTGGCAGTTTTGAGTTTTGAGATGAGTTTCTTTAACATCGTGCAGGATTTCATATCCAAGGGAAGAGCAAACTGAAATAGTAAAGGAGTATATCTCTGCAATATGTTTGTTCTGGAGAAATGTTCCTGAAAATATTTCTTTGGTGTTAGTAATGAAAAACGAACGAACGAACGAGCATCGAACGAACGAACAAACCTGTCATACGCTCCTGCACTCTTTCCAAAAGCAATGTTTAATCCTTTAAATCCTTGACTATTCGTGGCGCTCTGTTTCCCAATCGAACTGTGCCACCAGTAATTATTGCCCCGTTTGTAGAACACCACCAGATGCAATGGAATGTTTCCTGACTGGTGGATGAAGTAATGTGTAGGAATGCTGGGGACATTTAATCTCTCTAATGACAGCAAACGGGGGTCGGGAGAGGTCACTTCATTTATTACCACGTCCTGGTCATCGGAGAGATCTCGAAGGAGAGATCCCTGAAACAAACAGAAATATATATAATCCCGTTAGTTTAATGCGTTTGCTTGTTTGTACAAGAGACCACAAACGGTAAAGAAACAGTATACAAAAGTATCACTGGTGATGCCAGTGGCGTATGCACATGTCGTGCGTAGCTAACGTCAGGCGTAACACACTACGTCGGGCTTAGCAGCGCCCTGCTCTCACACGTCATGCACAACGTCGGCTAAGCCTAGGCGTTACTACGCCCGACTTAAAGGATTTACGTCGAGGCGCAGTGTGCTATTTTGAGATTTTCGAACATTTTTAAACCACCAAGGCGCGAAACAACTTCGCAGCACATCCGCTTCAACTGTAATCATGGAAAGCCAAAGAAAACCGAAAACACGCAATTTTACCGATGGATAAATAATATGTCTTTTGGAGATGTACGGAGATAATAAGGATATTCTCATTCTCATTCACAACTTTTAAATAATGTAACTAATCGGCGAAAACAACTAACTAACGACTAACCGTAGATTGATAAACTTTGACAGTATCCCCAACTGCATGTTGAAATAAACTGTGAGGCTGCAAGTACCTGTATTTCCGGGGTAAGGGTAGAAGACTAGAGGGGCGGTGGGGTAGCCTAGTGGTCGTCACGTCGAGGACCCGGTTCGATTCCCTACATGGGCACAATGTGTGGTGTCTCCCGCCGTGGTAATGCTGGAATATTGCTAAAAGCTGCGTTAAACTAAACTCACTTACTATATATTCGGACTATAAATTTATACTGTCTCACATCTTGATTATGGCAAATCGTATAACCTTTGTCACCAATCTCAATTGTTAACCACCAATACACCAGCAAAGGTCAATATACCAATGTACACATTAGAACAACTCTTTTCACATCCATGCGAAATCTCTGCCGAAAGCAATGTCGATAGAACAATTCCGACTATATCACGAGCATGTGTTCATGACTCGCTATCAAGGTTAAAATTATATACCAACAAGACACTGCTGCTAAATGTACGTTTTGCCAGGGACACCAGAAATGAGCTTCACACATCATACCCATGTCGGGAGTGAGTTTAGTTTTACGCTGTTTTTAGCAATATTCCAGCTTTATCACGACGGGGGACACCAGAAATGGGCTTCACACATTGTAGTCATGTGGATATCGAACCTGGATCTTCGCCGTGACGCGCGAATGCTTTAACCACTAGGCTACCCCACCGCTCGAAGACATACAGTGACTTCATTATAAGGTTTTGATGAGCAAGGAAGGTTCTGGGCCCCGTTCCACAAAGCGATCGTAGCACTAAGATGATCGTAACTCCCATACTTTAACACAGACTTACGACTGTCGTAGCACTAAGATGATCGTAACTCCCATACTTTAACATAGACTTACGACTGTCGTAGCACTAAGATGATCGTAACTCCCATACTTGAACATAGACTTACGACTGTCGTAGCACTAAGATGATCGTAACTCCCATACTTTAACATAGACTTACGACAGTCGTAGCGCTACGATCGCTTTGAGGAACAGGGCCCTGGAGTCCAATCTGAAAACGACTGTATTTTAATGTTAACCTACCTTTTTCTCCCAGTTTGGTCCATAGACGCCGAGTGAGATGACATCTCCGACTGAGCACAGGGCACAGCGACGGTCAGATTCAATGTCTGACACCAGGTGTCTCAGCACGGCCGGATCAATGACAAATATTGGGATGTTTTCATGTTGGCACTTGTTGACGAATGTCCTGAGCAGCTGCTATCAAACCGATTAAACTCAATTACTGGAACACTAGTGACAATGTCTTTCACTCGGTAATTTCTGCATCCATTATTGCAGTATCGTAGTCTACTGACGCTTACCCACTCAGACATGTGTGAGTGAATGAGTGAGTGAGTTAAAAATGAAAGTCACATCGGCAGTATTTCAGCCATATCGTGACTATGAAATTTATAAATTTATAAATGAATTAAAACAAGCTTAGACAATATACTTACCTGTCTGCAAAGGACAGTAAAATAACTAGTGTATCAACGATTTACACTTTAAATTATCATATAACCATAACATTTCCATCTGCAATAATACAATATAAAAACGGGTTATAGATTACCAACAACTGAAGGCTGATCACCACACTAGGGGCTATGGAGACTTACAATACTTTTGCTCCTAGCATGGAGCCTAGCTGGATTTACACCATCTTTTCAAATGATGCCTAGAATTCAAAAGCTGAAAACATAGGTCCATATTTTCTCAGTCTCTGGGTTTCTTTTAGTTTACATTGTCCTACTTGTTTCTCTCAGAGATGTATTTTCTGAGAATAAACGTGTCTAGATTTCGACCACAACCTCCATTAGATGACAGTTGTTCAGAGGCAGACTGTCAGCAGAGACCATCAGGAGTCGGATGGAGCGAGCGAGTTTGGTTTTACGCCGCTTTTAGCAATATTCCAGCAACATCACGGCGGGGGACACCAGAAATGGGCTTCACACATTGTACCCATGTGGGGAATCGAACCCGGGTCTTCGGCGTGACGAGCCAACGCGTTACCCACTTGGCTACCCCACCGCCCCGGAGTCGGATGGAGACAATAGGACAATAGGGGGATTTGGGAGCATCTGTAACATTTAGAGAGAATCAATTTGTTGGAGTAAACACTTTTCACTTGGTGCTGGATTACTGGATCAATTGGTAAACTTCTTTTTTTTTTAAACTGATGACATTGATGAAATTGGTTCGATGATTAATTGGTGAACTTAATTTGAAATTTGTGAACTGTCACTCATCAGTGTAAGATATAACATATATACATGTATATATCTTTCGAGTTAAAGTATTCAAAATAGCTATGGCTAATGTTCAAGTAGGTGCACGGTTTACGGTAATGGAATCGGGTATCATTGATTCAAGAAATTTGGATTATTCGTCGACGTTAGAAAAGCGAGGTCATAACTGACATCGCTTGACCATTGTGGAGCAAATGCTTACCTCAGTGTCATTGATAAAGACGATGCTCATGCTGGTGATCACTGGATTTTCTGGTCCAGACTCAATTATTTACAACTCCTTGCTCATGAAAAATCTAAGTTGGATTACAATGATGATGTTTCTCATCTTGTCTGCTGTGAAATGTATTGCTATTTGTATGTAATTTTGTATTTATAGATGAATGTGTAATTTGTGTATTATGTGTAACATGAGCTATTTTCAAATATGCCATCAAAATAAATGGTGCAATGTTCATAATTATCAGATCAAAAGTCTGTAAAATGTTGGACATGTGTTTGTTGTAATGATAATCTAAGATCAGGAGAGTGCCCAGGTTCTCCACCGGGAGTACAGCCCTTCTGACACTCTGGGTAATGCAGAAGGCTGCAGTGTTGGGGAGTCGACATATTCTCCGGGAAGTTCTTGGTGGGTTCGACTAGGCAGTGTTTACCTGGGAGAAGTCCCATTCGCTGTCTGGGCTGCGTGTAGAGGGGAGTAGTATAAGGGCCTTTATAGGGTCAAAATCTATTTTTAGAATAGGCCCCTGGTAACAGGTTATATTTAGACCATGAGTCATGTCAACACCTGCTGTTTCTATTTTTAGAAGAGTCTATATTTAGACCATGACTCATATCAACATCTGGTGTTTCTATTTTTAGAATAATATAAAGTCCCCTGAACAGCCCTCATACACAGCTCAGCCACTACACCTAGTGATTTCACACATTGTGGATATACCAGAGTGCATTTCTCATTGGATTACTAAACAACCTTGGAGTATACTGTGTGATTCACTGGGTTTATATTTTCAATAGCTCAGCCTCTCAACTACACATCTGTGGAGTAATTACACATTGTGGATATTTCTCACTGGATTACAAAACATCTTTGCATTATACACTGGAGTGACTACACATTATACTACCAGTGTATTTCTCTTTTATCTCAAAGCGAGCGCCCGTTATCGCAGTATCAATTCCCGTCTGACTAACTATAACTATTAAAAATGTGAAATTCAAATGTATACAACGTCCTACCTTCAGTCCATATCTTGTAACACAGAATACATCGTAACACAGATTAAGATTTACATCATCATCAGATTGAACGAGTGTTGGGGATAAAGTGTACATGAAGTCAACTTACCTCTGTTCATCATATCCATATGAATGACATCAGGGAATAACACATCCATAGGTACTAATTCGTGATGTTTAGAGGGGGTTGGAACAAGTAACCCATTCATGTGAAGAAACAGATTGATTCATACTGTACTCCAACAATGAATGACTCATTTGCCCACCCGTAAGTCCGACCTACAGCCATTCAAAGCTATGTTTACGGGAAGGGAATCCCCTCTCCCACCCAAGCATGAGGATTAAGAAAACAAGCGTATAATGGAGTGAAAAATAAATAACTTCAAATACATGTTACCGAGTGTCCACGTTAATACTTTCTTTTAATTTGCGACAGCCTCCGAGTGAGGTGTGTCATGTTCATTCTACCATAACATTGCCTCTCCCTACGTTCAATGAACCGAGAAGCATGACGGCCTTCACGCCCATTGAAGAAACCAGGTCATAGACCGCGTCCCCCGCCGCCATTTTGAAAAAAAATGATAAATAAATAGATTTAAACAAATAACAAAGTCCTAGCCATGCCCGCCGATGAAAAAAAACTGAGTAAAATGTTGAAACTCAAAGCGAAATCACACACAGCATGCTTCTCACCAAAGTATCCCATGTAGATCCCATGAACTTACTTTAAAATCCCACATAATCATATGAATAAATACAGCCCGATACAGAATACAACCTATAGAAAGTTGATTACACATGACTCACATATGCCATGAGCCTACTTTAAAAAACCTCACACACAATCACATGAATAAACACAGCCCGATACACACACAGGATACGACCGATAGAAAGTTGACATGACTCCCATATGCCACGAATCTTTAAATCCCAACACAATAAACACAGTCCAATCATAATCAGAACCTTTCCCTAGATTCATCGTTTTTTCTAAACTATAGCTTGCATACAACCAATGTTAGTATGTACATGTACTCGCATTGTTAACATGTGTACTCACGATACTGTCGTCAACAACATTATTCACACAATACGTTCATACGCAAAAATACTCACAAATTAGAATAGAGAATGATCCTTCACATAAATTCCACACCTACTGTGCTGTTTTAAACGGTCATGAAACCGCCAGAATACCTAAACACGCACAGCACAACATACCGGCTGCACATGGCAGTGAACAAAGAGCATTTAAGCTTGGCGCCAACAGCCCCTGCCTAAAACCGGTTCTGTCAAACTGGATCGCAAAAAGGGTCTATCAAACCGGTTCGCAAACGGTTCTGACTCAAAATGGCTACATGTCCAAACCGGCTACATGTCCAAAACGGCTTTGTAGACCAAAAATGGCTTTACAACACTAGTGTAATAGCTTATGTATTTATAAACCGTTTATATATATATATGTATATATATAAATATATTCATTACAGATCATTAAAATTGTTGTTGTATTCAATACAATGAACTGTAACAGTTGTTATCTTCAATACCATGAACTGAAACAGTTGTTATCTTGTATTCAATCAACAAGAATGACGATTAAACTGAAACTTGTATGTCTGATAATAGTATGAGGAGGTTAAACATTTTCGTGGATTCAGTGAAATAGGGTTGAAATTGGTATTATAAAAAAACCAAGAATTGTACAACAGTTGTTTTATGTCAATCCTACAGCAATACATTCAGTGAGTTTAGTACACTCTCATCAGCTCTATGGCGGTGGTCTGTACACAATTGCCCAGACAATCCAGTGATCAACAGCATGAGCGTCATTCTACACCATGTGCCATGTGTCAACCAGCGAGCCTGACCACTCGATCCCCTTAGTCGCCTCTTATGACAAGCATGGGTTACTGAAGGGTAACCCAGAGGTACAATACATTAAGAAACAAGAGAGATATACAGATTTCATTGTTTATTAGCTCCGTTTCAAATGAGTAGACATTAGGATAGGAGCTCTCCCAAATGCCTACTTTACATCTGTTGTCTTATTACCCTTCAGCATCATCCACCTGTCCTTCACTCTCTTCATCAGATGTTATGTCTTCATCTTCGGTCATGCCTTCGACCCAAGACTTATATTGGTACAATTTTGAAATCACTTCATGATACATATTATTTGTGTCTTTTACTCGTTTCAGTATTCCTTGTGTCTTTGGACCATCCTGCATATGGTACAGATAAGTAATAAATCGGGCATACGTCTCTTTAAACGTGCTCCAGATCAATTTGTTCAGTTTGGCTTGAATCATGTCTTCGTTTAAACCTCTTTTTATGTACAGCTGTCGTTTCTCATCCAAAAAGTCTTTATTCAGCTCACGCGCGTGCGTGAATACATTTGTCTTATACCTTGCTCTTCGAGATCAACCATCTTATTTTTCCTGTTGTGTGTGACATCGCTTAGTGATTCAACATCATCGTCCTCATTTTCCATTTCAGGACATTGTTTATCGTGTAAATGTCTTTGTAAGTTATGGTTAGTGCTAAACACTTGACCACAATAGTCACAATCCACCAGAGGACGTGGTCTCTTCACAGGTGAGAAGTTGTTGTCTTCCTCCCACTGCCTTTTCACTTGGGGTATCCCAGGAGGACCCACTGAAGACTTTTCGGGACACCAGTTTCTTCTGTGTTTTGCAAATCTTGCACATCTTGAAACACGAGTCCACAGGCATCACAAGTTGGCATGGTTGAGAGGTTTTCTTCACACGTCTGCTCACGCTGAACATCTAACTCGGACTGATTTGTCCTGGCTTGGAGGTGTCCTTTTAAACTGAATGCATTGGGACAAAGTCGTCTATGGGGAGGTGTTTGGGGTTTTAGATCAACCAACAAGTAGCCATAAGGCTTCTGGGTAGCCCTTTGAAACGGCTCCATGAAATGGTCTGCGTTACCTGGATACATTTGCCTCGCCAAAGTCATGATGGGTTGTTGATCGATAGGGTTGTTGAACAGAAGCAGATAATGACAGTTTCTTCGTTGTGTGGGATCCTTACTGAAATACAAATTCTGGTTCAAGGCGATCACTGAGAGATTACGATGATGACTTCCTTCCGTAAACAGATCTGTAATGCGTGGATCTTTGCTGGCAGTCGACATTAAGTCATC